AAAAAAAAAAAAGAAAAAAAGAAAAAGCTCACCTGGATTAATATTTTGAGACAACTGTTGTGCTGCAGCAAACATGTTTGCTGATGATTCTAGAAACTGCAGAGGAAACAAGATTAAGTTGCCTCATACTAAAGTAATAAATTTAATTATACAGTTTTTGAAGAACACATTTCTGTATTTTAAATGTCAAGGTAGTTTAGTCCGACCAACTACATAGATAGTCCTTGGCATTTTCCTGTATTAACTCCTCCTTCAAATAAATATTTTTGAACTGGAGAATCTTAATAAAAGCCTTCAATCTCAATTTTTTTTCCAATGCTAACAAAGCCATCAGTACCTCAATGAACTGTTTGAGTGATTAATGGCATTGTTAAAAATATATATCTTATTTCTAGGTTGAACTTCTTTGGCTTCAACTTGCAACAGAAGTTCCATATTCCCCATTAAAATTGAGGGCATCAACTGTCAAGTCCTCCCAATTTTGGCATTTATGAGATTACCATCAAACTATCTGGGTCTCCTTTTAGTATTAAGGGAAGATGTTATTCAAGTCTGGAAAGGTAAGACTGCAAAAACATTCCTTAAAGAAGAAATCTTTGCAGCTGTTCATAAAGCGTTACTATAGAAAGATTCTTCAGGAATCAGTGAAGTTTGACCAACTTGGAGCCTGACAAACTTAGAAAGCTCTTTCTCCTACCACAATGGGTGCCGTGGAATGAAAACCTCCTTAACTCCCACAAACTTTGATGGGATTTGGCATTGGGGTACCTGATGCTTGTACCCAAAATACTGTTTAAGACTCGAATTTAAGATGAATGCTTAAAAGTGGCATGCATCAGAAAGTGAGAAAACTATTACAAAATCAGGATCATTCTCTCTCTTTGTTCTTTCACCAGATATCACAGTCTCAAATATGAACACCCAGTAAATGTTACAAAGTGATCATGAAATGATGAATCCGCTGAAAAAGATTTGCAAACCCACTGCCCTGGAGGCGTTCTTGTGTACCTGGGCTATTTTTGTTTTCTTCTGCTGAAATTTGCAAAGACGCAATATCCGTGTCCCTGACTGGTCACTGAACTGTTCGTGGAATGGGTGCAGCAGCTGAACAGTCTCCCCAAAGCTTTAGAAAAGAAAAAAAAAAAATTAGTGTGAAACAGGTACTTACATTCTGCTCTGAAGTTTTGAAGAAAAGTCAAGATTTCAGATAAACTCACCTACACACAGCAATCTGTCCCACTTCTAGAAGAGTCAGTGCATTTCCAATAACAGCCAGTGATTCATATGCAAGCTATTAAAGAGAAAAGTTACATCAAATAATAGGATATTTCAAGTTTTACTCACAGCTCAGTATAGTATTAATTATGAAGAATATAACTGAAAATATTTTTCATCACCTAGTAAAATAAATGAAGAAGCTTCTCATCTTTTTTCCTGTTACAGTTATGCAAGATAGTCATTGCAATAAAGACACACTAGTTCTGCTTGAGGGCTTCAGCTGATTGATTCAGAGTTACCACTTTAGGCAGGCTAATGAAATAAACACTGAAATACCTATTTGGAAGGAAATACACATTTTTAATAAATGGAAACCCTACAAGCAAGCTGTGATGAACCAGTATTTGGTCCTCTGATGAACCTCTGAATCACTGGTCAGGCTTTCCAACAGCCACCAGCTCTGAAAGAGGTCACCAGCTGACATGTTCATGAAGGATCGGTAGCTTTTTCCTACTTCTTACAACATTTTCTTTTACCTGTTTAGAGTGATTGTCTATCATACTGGAGGAATCATCAATAGCCAAGCAAATCTGGTACTGTCGTTTGCTGGGCTTGGTCCTCCGCAACCAGATCTTGTCCTTTCGGAACTGACTGGCAATGTATGGGATCACTTTGCGCATGTTCAGTCTCTTCCCTGTTCTGAAGTCTCCTCTGAGAGTTAAGAAAAAAAGATACAGCGACAGGGATAATCAGCAAATATATCATTCTGGAAATCCCGGTTTGTGAGCAAAATAACAATATTTTGTAAAATGTAATAAAATAAGCAGTTCTTTTATTCATATTTAGGTATAGATAAAAAATCTTACATTTTTAATGCAAGATGGAGGTGCAGTGTTTTTAAAAAGAAGTTCTTAAGTCTGGGTGCCTAAAAAGGGAGGCAGACCTTGAATTTAAGACTCCTCCATTTTGAAACAAGTCTAGATCTCTCTCTCTCTCTCAAAAAAAAAGCAAAACCAACCAACCAACAAAATTACTTAATGTTAAAAATAACATAAAACATTTTGACACTTAACATAATCTTTGACTCAACAGCACTTCACGAGCTGAAGTTGGTTTCATCACCTGCTGCACAGAATTAAAAAAACAAACAAGAGGCAATATCCTCAGGATGGATACCTAATATTGTATCACATTTGTATTTTATAAAATAACCCAGTGTTCCCATACAGAAGAAAAATGAACACATTTGCAAACAGGAATAATTGCCATAAAGCAAGAATGACATAGAGCTGCAGTTGTGCAGAGGTTAAAGTCCCTCAAAACCAGGAATTTGAAGAACGTTGAAGCCTCTGAAAGACCCAACTTACTTCAGTTTGGCTGCCTGGGTGGGTTCCAGTATGAGCCGTAGCTGTTCACAAAGCTGCTGTGATAGAGGAGCTGTCAATACTAAGTACCTCTGCCACAACTGCGCTGCTTCTTTCTCCTAAAACATCATACAAAACAGAAAGAAAAAAATATTAGGAAGAAACAAACAGTTGGGAAGCACTGCCTGAAAAAACAAAGCAAACCTCAGTGTGCTAAGGGGGTAGGTAGTTGGTAACTACCAGCTGAAACCCTGAGAGTGCCTTGTGACCATATGAAGGCAAGAATTTGCATTCCACTTAGGATGCTCCTTGCTGCTATGAAGCTGCAACATGCAGTGACCATTCCTCTAGGAGTACAACCGAGCAACTTTAGCATTGCTGTTGATACAAGAAAATCTTGGAACAGCCACCACCTGAGAGTTGGTATTACAGCAAGCAAGCTGTAAAGTCTGCTAGGTTCTCTATCAGCCAACAATTAAAATAAATTGAAATTCAGAAAACATGTTAAGCCTCCATATTGGCAATTTCTTTCAGGAATTACTTCCAAATATGTTCTGCAATTTGTAACTAGGACAGTCAGAGCAAGCATCATATTCTGGTTATGCTTGTTGGTTAGCTCAAACTCCACCACTGCAACTGAAGGAGATGGCTTCTGTTGAGCATAATTTTGTGAAAGCGGTGCCCAGCTCTTAACTGCAGCTGACGATTCAACACAGAACAAGCTTGGCAGGACCGAGAAAAATGTTTCAAACTGCACAAATTTTAGATGTCGTTATCAACAGATAGTGCAAACAGCACACAACACATTCCAAACAAGTTCTGAAACAACATCCTGTTTTAAGAATAATGTAATTTTTTCAGAGTAAGTGACAACAAAAATAGCACCAAAATCAGGCAATTTTGAATATTTACATTCCAGTAAGCTTGGCTTCCTCAATGCTTCAGCAATAAAACAAAACAAAATAATGCAGTGAAGGATTCTTATGACAGTTTTATGCTAAAAGTCACGAACCTCATCTAGAGTTCCAGACTGCTGTGTGTGCCAAGCTTCCAGTTGCCTTTCAAGTTCTTTTCTGAGCTCCTCAGGATCTCTAATGATGTGCTAGAAGTTTAGTTGTGAGATTTATGAGAAAGAAAAGTAAGTTCATGTATGTGGTGATCCCCAAACTATAGCAAACTCTAAAGAAGTAAAAATGCTTTGTTCTTATTCTTTTAGACACAAAAACACCTGAAGAAAAACTTTAAATGAGGACTCTAAATCTCCATTTTTTTAATAGATTTCATGTACAAGACGGATAAATACCTTCTGAAAAATAGCTACATGTGTGACACAATCAACACAGAAACAAAAGTAGGAACATCTGCAATACAGACACTGAAAATCACCAGATACAGAATTTCAAGATAATTCAATGAAATTCTCTTGACAAACACCAGATTTAATGACAGCATAATGGAGATCAAACTACTGAATACTACCTATCTAGTACCTTCCAAAATGCTTCACTTCATTATAGTTTGTTTGGGTTTTTTTAAAAGCTTCATTCAAAGCACTTAAAGAACTGAACACCATCTTTCTCGATAAGCCACTATGCTACAGGACACCCACGTTTCACTACACTTCATCTTTTACTGTGCTTTCAGTGACAACTTCTGTTTCTG